ATAAAGTCTTTTTCATCATTAATTGTTGCTTTAATTTCGTTTTCTTTAGAAAATCCGTTCACAGCTATAGGCTTAGTAACACTCATGATTTCATTCATCATATTATTTGCTAACTCTTCCATTGTTTTAAACTTTAATTAATATTCACTTAATATAAATTAATTAAAATGATTTGGTTTATGAAAAATATATTTATGTATGTATGGCTTCAAAACTAGAGTACAGAACTGCATTTCATGTGAAACTGATTCGCGAATCGTTTTTCTAAGTCTTATATAAACTAAACTAAAATTTTAAGTGAATTCTAGGATTTGACTCAAATAGAGATCTGGATTCGCCCACAAAATATGAAATACTTTTATTCACAAATTGAGACAAATATTTGCATTGAAAGAGAGAACGGATTCGAGAAGTATTTTATATTTACAGTGCATTCAATAGTCATTAATTTGTTGCCAAAATATTTTGAGAAAAAGTTATAAATTGGTTGCCTTTCATTAAATATAAAATTATTTTTTATATTTAGCGGAACTCAAGACTTATTTATTAATAAGTTTGACGAAAAAATGTTTTATATTAAATATATTATTGTAGCAAAACTTACAGAGAGCTGACTCTCGAGGTCTGCCTTTTGAGCGATATTTTTGAGGAGCCGTTCCTCAACGTCTCCCGACGACGACCTCTCGGACTCCAACTGAAGGAAGAGATCGTTTTTCTCCTGCAAGAGCTGAACGTTCTTCGTCTCGAGTTCTTTACGGAGTTTCTCCTCCTTTTCGAAGGCCTCGTGTTCTTTCTTGAGCTTCTCCTCCAGGGCTTTGAGTTCGTCCTCAACTCGGGCCACATTCAACAGAGGCTTCACCTTAGAGTAGAGCTTCCACCACAACCAGTTGCGAAGAGTGAGGAATTTACGCAAATTTCTCTGAATGACGAGAAGAGCGATTCTCTGTTCCTGCAACTTCTTGAAGTTCTTCTTGCACTGATACCAACGGATCCATCCCTGAAGCCATGTAAGGATTTTGCCCAACCGCTCGTCTCTCATCTCCTCCAGACGTCCCAACACTCCGGCGCGGAAGAAGATCTGTGTCGTAGTCGGCGTCCAGTTTTAAAACAGTGTTTCCACACAATTATGGGACACAAACATGCGGTCAATCATGGGATGCACAGTACGATACGATCAAAGGTAAACACACATAGGGTTTGGGTGAACATATAACAACATTTAATTTAGACCTACCTTTTGATAACATAATCAAAATAATTTTTGGCTTATAATCGCATTCATTGTAAGCATAAACGACAAGAATTGCAGTTATTTTTGTTATACAAACTGTTGCTTTCATTAAGTGTTATTTAAAACAATTTTTGTTAATTTTGCTAAAATAAGGATAAATAAAGCATTAATTATATGAATTTAAGCAAAAGAAATGATTTAACGTTAACTTAAAATAATTTATTTGTAATATAAGCCATACTTAAAGTAAGAGTTCCTGAAAGTATATACAGTATAGACATGGAAAGTACTGAACTGAACTTCATTGATATTTATGTCATTGTATTAATAAATTTTGTTCATTTCCAAGGAATAAACATATATTTGCACTTAAATTTAGTAGAAATAACTCAAAGATACTCGTTTTTATACAAAAATACTTTTATAAAATTTTAATCAAAGATTAATTCCTGAGAAATGAAAATTGAAATTCAGTTCATAGTAGCGTTAACGTATAGGCAGCTAATTATTTAAAATAGAAATTACACTAAAAATGTTTTCTTTCAATTAAATGAAGAATTGTTTGAATACATGAATGGACGCTACATGAATACCTTGGTATTTCCAAGTCGGTACTCCCCCTCGTCAATATTAGTGGCTTTGACTAACTTTTCTGTGGCTAACTTTGCGTCAACAAATCCTTTGGGAAGGATGGTAGGCGCCAGGATTGTGTATCTGAGGAATTAGTGCGCAAATCAATGTTAGTACACATGAGATCACGACTAATATGATCGGAAGTATCGGCGAATGAATTAGTTTATTGAATATTTAATATATATTCACAGATCTAATCGGAATATTCTATGGGTTGTAAGCGGTGTGTTCAAGGAATTCGGAATTTTGTGATTCAGTTACGGTATTAATTCAAAAAACACCAAAACTATCTAACGTTATGTGAACTAACTTCAAATCAAAACCATCTAAGAGTTGATACGTTTGACAAAAACTTTAGATTATATCAAAATAGTTGTTTAAAATAGAAAACTTCAGGCAATTTATGTGAGATTAGACTCAAATCACACTCTACAGTATACTACACTAGACTAGAATTAGAGAAAATGATTGTCAAACTGATCACTAGAGTACTAGCCTTTGTACTCCCGAATCGAAAATCATTGGAATCTAATTGAATCGCTTCGATAACCTTTTCGGCGACCGCTTTCGCGTCGACAAACCCTTTAGGGACGGCCGCTGCCGCTAGGATTGTGTATCTGTTTGACACGAGTTATCCGACACAGGGATAGGAAACATAAAATTTGCGTTTAGTTTAGGAATTTTGGGTCATTATTAAGTGATTGTAAATTTTAACATTTTTTGTATCATATTAACCGAATATGAATGTCATTTGTATTATTATTCTTTGGGATTTTGAGTTTTGTGATAATTATTACAAAACTCTAGTATAAGTTTTTGGACAAATAATTAGAATCAACAAATTCATTTTAGTTTTAAGTGTTTCAATCATTTTTGGTTTAGTTTATTAAAAACATAGTGAAATTTGGGGCATTCATTCGCTGAGGGATTTCAGATTCATAATCGCAAAAGTGTTTACCTTTAATAACAAATTGTTTCGTATATGAGACCACATTTAGAGACACTTATTATTAATTAAGACAATTTAGAGGATATAAAACTCGGAACTTAGTATTGATTTAAAGGGGTTTTACACATAATGTATTGTAGGAATGGGAAACACTTATATTGAGACTGGGGTCATTTGACATATAGGCTTGCCTTGGTGCTTCCCAATTTGTAGTCATTGGTATCTAATTCAATGGCTTCGCATACTTTGCCAGCAACCTGTCTGGCGTCGACAAAACCTGCTGGAACTGCTGCCGCCGCTAATATAGTATATCTGAAAGGGATAGTGCCATACATTGGCTTAGATTTAAACTCAACTCATTGTGGATCTACTCATTGATTAGATGTGAGAATTTGTCCAAAATTAGGTAATTTGTGAGCTTTGTTTAGGTGTTTGTGTTGGGTTTCATTAGATTTGAGTTTTATACACTTTTGTATAGTTTTAGAAAAGGTTTGGAAGAATTGGAATTCAATGAAACCATACCTCTGTTTGAAGTCGGGGTACAACATCCTGTTAGGGAATCCCTTACGACAGATACGGATGCCCTCGAGTACACCATTGCAAGTCAATTGATGCATTACCAAATGGGAGTCAATTACACCTGTAATTCAAATCTAGTCATTAATATGAACTTAAAGATGTTATCAAAAGAGTTTACAACAACTTATTGACAAACAATAGTATCTTTAAGAACCACAAAAAATAAAGTTTAAGAACGTTATGATTGGACCAAAATGTACACGATTTGTGTATTGATTGTTCAGGGTAATTGTATAAATAGTAAGAATAGTATGAATACCTGGCTGTTTGAGCTCATTGGGTATGACACAGCGCACAAAGTGCGGATGAGTACTCATAAGGGACGCCATTAACTTACTTAGCTGTTCCTAAGGTATTTAAGGGGCAGTCGGTAAGGGGCAGTCGGTTGCGATTCAAAGAATTCAATAACTTTTTTCAGACAAATTATATTCTAGTTTTAAAATTCTGTATATATCTGTATTTTTGGGTATTTGATAGCGTCTTGCAACAAATGATTGGATATTTGGTTTTCAATTGTGGTTCACATTTGGACTCTGATCAATTCATATATGGTTTGGGTATCATATCGTTACGGTATTATTTGATATAAGGTACTCGAAGTTTGAGTGTGGTGGACTCAAAATTTGACATTTAAACACATATTTGGTTGACATATGGTATGTCCAAAAAGTAAAAGTTTGGAATTGCTTTTGATTTGATAGGTAGACACCGGTTGTGGCAAAACAAAATTACCTGGGGATTTAGTTTCGTTGGGAATGATGCAGCGCACAAAGTGTGGGTGCGTTTGACGTAAGGTTGTCATGAGTTTGTTTAGTTGTTCCTGTTTGTGCGTACGGGTACAGGTACAGGGTCAAATTTGGGACAGTATTAGCTCAACATGTATGAGGAGAACACTTTGTGGGTTCAAAAATGTATCTTTTGTTGTGTTTTTTGTGTGAAAAAGTTAATTCTGGGGGTTTAGGTCTTAACAGTATATGAGTTCGCAAAACACGACAAACTCATCAATTTGGATACAACTCGGGATTCAATTTCAAAAATTCATGATTTATGCAACAAATGATCATTGATTCAAATCAGGCATTTGGTCTCAAAATCAAATCGGGGTTTTGTTTCATATCTTTGAGATATACAGGGTTACGGTCATTAAGAATTAGTTCAAAAGTAAATCAAAGGGTATTATCGTATGAAAAGGTTTTGTGGAATAATACGGTATGTATTGATAAAACAGTACCAAACCTAATGCAACCGATTCTATGGTTCTATAAAACACTACTCATTCATATCACTACAAACCAATTGATAGATATTATGGAAAAGTGATCAAATAGGACAAATGACAAACAAAACAAACAAACAATTATAAGACAGTTATATAAACTAAAAGCGATTGTTCGGGAATGAGTGAAGGGTCGGTCACCTGCAGACTTGGTTTCATTGGGGATAATACAGCGAACAAAGTGAGGTTGGGTTTGGCGCAGAGTTGTCATCAGTTTATTCAATTGTTCCTACGATTGGTTTAGTCGTCAAAACAAACGTCAAAATCAGTGTTAACTCAAAACATTCATCAAATAGTTTATCAAATGGGGAAAACATATTCATTAATTGTTTTGTGATTTGTGTGTTATATATGTCTGCCGATCCATACCCTATACAATCCAGAGACAGTCTGGAAACCGGAACCCTTCTTACGGCCGCCTCCTTTGCCGCCTTTTCCGCCGCCGTCATCACCGCCTCCGAGACCCGGATGGTCCTCGAAGATGGCCTGGATCAGTTTGTTAGAGCCGTGTTTGAATTGATCGACAACACAATCGTTGAGCGGATCCTTATTCTTCTCGAGCCAACCCGTCACATTGTAGGGTACAGTTCCCGCGTAGTGCACAATAGCGAAGTGGGCCTCTTGGCAGCCAGGCTTAGCCGGCTTAGGCTTCACAAAGTTGGGTGATTTGCCCAAATGGTTGGTCTTCAGCTTCTCCTCGAAGGTCTTGTCGCTGGCCTTCGGGAACATACTCTCCTCCTCTAAGATCGACAGAATACCCATCGGCTGTCATAACAAGCAATTCATTTAATTATTAAAATTCATTCATATTTTAATAGTTGTGAAAACCCCCAAGAATTAAAGACTCAAATAATATAACCGATTCCTCAATTAAAATAAGTTTATATTTATATATTAATGGATTGAAAACTGTTGGCATTTTATGAATTGATATGGGGAGAGTGTGTGGGTCACCCTATGGTGCCCCTATGGGTGGGTTGGGTACACTCGTATACCTTTTCAATGAGCTCAATACAAGCGGCCAAATCCATTCCGAAATCAATGAAATCCCAATCAATACCCTCTCTCTTATACTCTTCCTGCTCCAACACAAACATGTGATGATTGAATTTCTCCTCGAAGGTCTTGTCGCTGGCCTTCGGGAACATACTCTCCTCCTCTAAGATCGACAGAATACCCATCGGCTGTCATAACAAGCAATTCATTTAATTATTAAAATTCATTCATATTTTAATAGATGTGAAAAACCCAAGAATTAAAGACTCAAATAATATAACCGAGATAATATCATAGATAATAGATAATATAACCGATTCCTCAATTAAAATAAGTTTATATTTATATAGTAATGGATTGAAAACTGTTGGCATTTTATGAATTGATATGAGGAGAGTGTGTGGGTCACCCTATGGTGCCCATTGGATGGGTGGGTTGGATACACTCGTATACCTTTTCAATGAGCTCAATACAAGCGGCCAAATCCATTCCGAAATCAATGAAATCCCAATCAATACCCTCTCTCTTATACTCTTCCTGCTCCAACACAAACATGTGATGATTGAAAAATTGCTGCAACTTTTCGTTTGTGAAATTAATACACAGTTGCTCGAAGCTATTGTACTGTTTGTGGGGATTGTCGGGGTTTATTGGATAACAAGGTAAATATGTTTGGATGGGTTTTGCGTTTGGAGAATTGGGTTTGATTTATGATAAAATCGAGATCCGGGGAGGGATTGGAGAGAAAAAGAAAAAATTGTATTAGAAATGTGTCGAAAATAACTTACTTTTTCGATTAGTTCAATACAAGCGGCCAAATCCATCCCGAAATCAATAAAATCCCAATCAATGCCCTCCCGTTTGTACTCTTCTTGTTCGAGTACAAACATGTGGTGATTAAAAAATTGTTGCAACTTTTCGTTAGTAAAGTTGATGCAAAGTTGTTCAAAACTATTCAACTGATAAGTCAACACCAGGTTATTATATAATACACACAGTTATAGTCTTAATTAATATAACTAATCATTAAGTCTCATCATTTACATGAATGGATTATTAATTAATATAAAATACCGCAAACAAATAGTCAGCGAATTATAGTTTAAGACCATTTCAAACATCAATACTTACGTCAAAGATCTCAAAGCCTGCGATATCGAGTACACCGATGAAGTGCTGTCTCTTCTGTTTGGTGTCGAGGGTTTCGTTCAACTTCTTGACAATCCATTTGAACATACGATCGAACATAGCCTTAGCCATAGCGCCGATAGAATAGGACACCTGATCCTTGTTCCTGCCCTGAGTGACCATCTCTGTGCCGACCTTTATCCTGGGTTTACAGAAATTCTTGTAGAGGTCGGCGGCGTTAACGCCGAGCAAATGGGCCACACGTTCGCCATCTTCGGTGCCATCGGGTTCGCACTGTTCCTCTCGGGGTCTTTGCTTGAATTTCATGGTCCCGATGTGCATAACAGCGGCTGTTATTTTGTAAACGTTGTGTTTCTCCTCTTCGTTGAAACCCAACACATCGAAAGCATTCTAATCGTTGTGTAAATGGTTTGTCATTTATAGTTCACAAGCATTCAGAGGACAGGAATAGACAGTGGAAGTGATGGTTAACATACAGTAACAGTGAGTTATATATATGGCTCAGTGATGGAAATGTTAGTTCAGGCAAATAAACATATAATTGAAACAAATTTAAAATTCCATAAAGTTTTTGAAACATATTTCAAAGAGAAAGACATAGAAATGAACATAAAAATTATATAGAATTATAAGCATTTATAGTAAGAACTGCAGTAAAATATGAATATAATTAGCATACAAAAGACAATAAGTAAAAATTATAAACATAGTTAAGATAGATATGAGCATAGATTTGATTAAAGTGATTGTATGAGAGCTGGATCCTTTGAGACTCACGTTGGTTACTCTAAACTCATCGCCATCATCGACACCTTCTATCTCAGTTCTACCCTGAGATATAAAGTGGTAGTATTTGATGTCTTTTGTGAGCAATAGCTCATCTGAAAACGGGTTCAAAAATGTATCAGATTTTAAACAATCCGTCGCCGGAAATCACATCAAATTACATGTTATAATATTAATCGATTAAATGTAATGTAATGTTAATATTATTTAAGGATTACATCTACTGTATGGTAATTATGAACAATATTTGGGATAAAATTATTAAATTAGATTCATTGGAGTGATAAAAGGAAATCTGGACGTGGACAATTGGAAATGTTTGTTACCAATGAGTTTATGAATGCATTTCATTGATTATTGGATTGAATTAAAGGATTTCAAATGGGATTTAAAGGGTCTAATGGATCCTAAAGGAGATCACACCATAGGGTCATAAGGTTTTGAGGGCATTGGAAGGACTCTAAAAGCCATATTGTGGTGGAGGTCTGGAGGTCTGGAGGTCTGGGTTTCAATGGAATAATGGAAAGGAATTTTGCGATTCCGTCGAAGAAATGTATTTCTGAGACATCCTATACCGACAACTGGTCTCAAAGTACTGAATGTAAGTTGCATTACAACTACACATATAATAAGCGCTCATTTGATTCCATCATTCGTTCATTTCTTACAATTGGTTGACATATCAATGGTTACTCACATCCGTGTCTTTAAACTCGGCGCTGTCATCAACAGACGGTATCTCAGTTTTACCCTGAGATACGAAATTGTAGTCAAGGATGTTATTCGACAAAAGACATACGTCTATAGATAGGGTTCAGAATAGGCTCTTTTTATTTGCTATTCAAAAACACTTTAACTTTTATTTTAAACCTCAATTCTCGTATTTAATTCAATTCTTTATGGAATTTTATTTTAACATCATTTTTAGTTTCACACACAGAATTATTTTCTCGTGAAAGGGTTTATGTCTCAAAAATGGGGGATTAGCACCTTGGTGCTTTCAAAAATTGTCGGGTCGTTGGGTAAATGGTTTCAAAATTGAGTATTTATCAAATGGGAGAACATTTACTAAAATTCACGAATTGGGAATGTTTTGATAGAAACATATAATGGAGTGGTATAATATGGGACTTAATGGTTCACAAAATACCGGTAACCGGTGGGTACAATACAATGTGGTATTGTATGAATTTAGGGGTATTTGTAACACGATATAGTAGGGAAGAAAACATAGATTCAAATTAAATTGGGAGTCAAACACGTATTTGTGGATTAATTGTTGGGAATAAACACTGAAGTGAGGAATTAATTGAAAACTTTGGCTTTTGGTGATATAAGGGCTGATAGGTCTCAGGGCTTCAGGATTCTCATTACAACTTACGTCTGTATCTCTAAACTCCTGGGCGTCATCGACTCCAGGGATCTCAGTCTTACCCTGAGATACGAAATTGTAGTCTAATATCTCATTAGAGAGAACACATTCCTCTAATGTATCCGAAGGGGTGGGTTTCAATTGAATAGAAATATCGTTTTCATTATTAGGGTTTCAAAATAATATATTCATAATTCATAATCAATGAGTTTTTTGGTAACACGACAAACTTAATTCAAAATTGCCTAAAACTGACACTATTTCTACAAAATTTAAAATATTTAATTTAGAAATATTTAATGTAGACTATATATGCAAACAAAATGGACATACCCTTCACTCCGGGGACAGCGCCGGACATGAGTTGGTAGAAGATGTGGTACGACCTCTCAAGAGTTTGTTGTGAAATGACACGAGCCTTCTCCAGAAGATCTGTATATGATTTGGTGAACCATTTAGATAACTGGTTGTAAACTGGGAACATATTAAAAACGACTCACAGGTCTCAATGTCAGCACCGGCCAGTTTGCCCATTGGGCCGAAATGGATCCTGATGAATTTACCGAAACGGGAAGAGTTGTCATTACGCACAGTCTTGGCGTTACCGAAGGCCTCCAATATTGGGCGTCATCGACTCCAGGGATCTCAGTCTTACCCTGAGATACGAAATTGTAGTCTAATATCTCATTAGAGAGAACACATTCCTCTAATGTATCCGAAGGGGTGGGTTTCAATTGAATAGAAATATTGTTTTCATTATTAGGGTTTCAAAAATAATATATTCATAATTCATAATCAATGAGTTTTTTGGTAACACGACAAACTTAATTCAAAATTGCCTAAAACTGACACTATTTTTACAAAATTTAAAAAATTTAATTTAGAAATATTTAATGTAAACTATATATGCAAACAAAATGGACATACCCTTCACTCCGGGGACAGCGCCGGACATGATTTGGTAGAAGATGTGGTACGACCTCTCAAGAGTTTGTTGTGAAATGACACGAGCCTTCTCCAGAAGATCTGTATATGATTTGGTCAACCATTTAGATAACTGGTTGTAAACTGAGAACATATTAAAAATGACTCACAGGTCTCAATGTCAGCACCGGCCAGTTTGCCCATTGGGCCGAAATGGATCCTGATGAATTTACCGAAACGGGAAGAGTTGTCATTACGCACAGTCTTGGCGTTACCGAAGGCCTCCAATACGGGATTGGTCTGCACGACCTGATCCTCCAAATTACCCTACCATTGCATGTCACCCAATAAAACAGTTATTAGTATTTCATTTGATTAGTGCTTTTTATTCAAACAAAATGCAAACTTTTCCAGAATCTCATGCTTTGAATCATTTAGTTGTTGTCTAAAAGGCGATGAATTGGTTCATTATTTATGTTCACAAATCTACAAGTTTAAGGAATGGTAGTTTGTCGGGAACACTTGTGAATTTTATTTCATGCATTTTATTAATAATCAGGGTACTAATGTGAATTCACACTAAATGGCAGACAATTACTGTTTTGGAGAAATTATATAACAATTGGGAGCGTAAGGAAGTGGATGGATGTGCTGTATTGGGACAGATAATCACTAGAATATGCATGAAGTGAGTGCTGGGAATCTATGGGATCACTCAAGGGATAGACTGGTCTGACGGTTGTATACCTTCTTAGGAGCCCCTTCCTTAACAGCCTCCTTCTTAGTGACAGCACCGACATTAGCGAAGTAAGCAATTACTTTCTTCGTGTTCTCAGTTTTACCGGCACCAGACTCACCGCTAGTTTTGGCAAAACACTCATTAATTCATTGAACCATTTCAATGGTTGGGCAGTTGGGACAGAATTTAGTTTTCAATGGTTGGGTGTTTGGGACGCAATTTAGTTTTGGTTTATATATATTTTAAAATACGATTTTTAGTATTTAAGGGTTCGGTTTGGAAGGGAACGGAACATTTTTTGAGGGATTTTTGTCAATATTTTATAATCCACTTTAGAGTCAGAGACGATTTGCACAGTATTTGTCGTGAATTTGAATGCGCGAACAGAATGAACGATAATTTTGAGACAAATATGGATTGTATGAACACTTACTCCGGTCGAGAATTTATGTTTGAAACCCGAAGCGGCAATCGTTGAGAAATATATTATAACTTTCTTTGTATTCTCGGTTTTTCCTGCACCGGACTCACCGCTAAAGTGGATTGGGATTAAAGGTTTGGATTTGGATTTATGATTAATATCTAAGGGGGTTATTTAAGGAATGGATTTTTGGGGAATTGGACTTGCGCTTTGGGTCGGGTATTTGAAAGGGATTGGGAGTTATGAGATTCATGGATGGATTAAATTTGCATTATTAGTAATATATTGGACAATGTATCTAAACAAATGGATCGTTCTTTTAATTGGGAGATTGGGAATTAAATCCACAGAATACTTGACTTTTGATAAAACAATTGATCCAATATTTGACGCTAAAAGGTGTCAAAACACTTACTCCGGTCGAGAATTTATGTTTGAAACCGGAAGCGGCGACGTTAGCGAAGTAAGCGATTACTTTCTTCGTGTTCTCAGTCTTTCCAGCGCCTGATTCTCCACTTTTATCAGTGTTTTACAAATTTTATTCATTGTTTGTATCCATTGATTCCAATATGTATTGGGAGTGTTTGGTTAGGTTTGGAAAAATGTTATTTC